TGACCTTGGGTTGTCATTAATTATTAAGACATCTCAACACCTTATTAGTAGCTATATAATTGGAGATAAGATTACCTAGAGCTTTCAAGCGATTGATAAGATGTATGAACCTCTTTTGCATTTTGGCAATGGTTTCACCATGCTTCATGTGAAATAATTCAAACTCTTGATTTAACGTATTGATCCTAGATTATTTTACCTCATTAGTTCCTTCATAGGAAACTTAGAATGCATCCCACATAGCTTTGGCGATCCCATAATGAGATACACAATAATATTCATCAACACTGAGTACGGATGTGAGAATCTTTTGTGCCTTACAATCACGTGACAACAATTTCTTATCATTATCATCCCATCATGCTTCCGATTTAGGTACGGTAACACCTTTATTATTGATCATTGTAATTTCATTTGGACCGTTTATGATGGCGTCCCAATACCCTTGTCAACCAAGTTGACATGGATATGCATACAAGATTTCCAATAGCCATAGTTTTCACCGATAAATATTGGCACTCTATTGTACGCCCTTTTAGGTTCGGTGGCCATTTTATAAAAAGCAATTATTGAAGCATGAAATTAATGGGAGCTCTGATACCACTTGTTAAACAAAGGAAACTTATCTAGAAGGAGGTGAATATATCCCTAACAAAAATTAGATGAAAACAATTTTCAAAATGTTGGCTAGCGGAAGTAACTTGGATCGATTCTTCTAAACCGAACCGCTATCAAAAAGCTCGGATATGCGTATGTGAAAAAAATTAAAGATGGTGATAATCAACTTTAATAAAAATGTTTAATCTCAATTACTAGAAGGTTACATAACATGCAACTCTATTTCCGATGATACTTCAAACAAAAACACAATTGAAGCAATTTATCGAACACCTTATGTGCAATTGATTAGGTTTGAGATTTTGTATAGTTTTGTTGATCTTCAAATCCAACCACAATCAAAATAATTGTGATTAATTCAAAAAAATGCTTTTCAAATGATTTTCAAAAGAAATCACCAAACAAATTAATCACGCAAATGATGAACACGACAATTTGCAAACAAAATATAAAAGAGATAAAAAGAAAGAGAGAGCACACAATGATTTGTTTAGGAAGTTCCCCAATTAACCTCGCTATGGATACGTCTTCCCTCAATTCGATTTCGAATTGAGATCATGAAATTAAACTTACTTTGCAATAGTAAGTTTTACAAGAGAAATGTTGAATGCAACCAAACCCTAAGCTTGATGTTGATCCTAGCACTTTCTCTTCCCTGTATCTGAGATTGATCAAGTCATCCTACAATGCTAATTCAATTCACCATTTCACGTTACTCCTTCGCAAGAACCGCAACCCTTCAACGCCTTCACTAGATCGAATTCTAATTTGCAACTTGTTGTAACCCAAGATTTACCAAGATGATCCACCGTCTCACGCTACTCATTTGAAAGAACTTCAACCCTTCAAAGACTTCACTCGATCGAATCCAAACTTGAGTAATCTTGTCCAAAACCTTCAAATCCATACTTTGATCTTGAGGGAAAACTCCACCTTAGTTTTCTTATTTGAAACCCCCTTAAGATCTCAACCCAATTTATAATACCACAAGCTAAATTAGACCTTATCAACTTGATTCTAGATGGCACTCAAACAATGAATAATTATGTGTATGTTGTTTGTGTGTATGCATAAAATTAAGGTTGAAGATGATGACTACTCTTAATATGTTCCATGTTTTGCTTATGATTTTTCCAAAATCATTAAAAAGAAATGGTGCATGTAGTAGGTACATATATGTAAGCAAGTGAGAAGCAAAAGAAATGCAAAAGGAATAGAAACAAGGGAAATTTTTTAAAAGTTTTGATCTATAGGTCGACCTATCAAAGTCATGTGTCGACTTGTATAGTCAGCACATGAGACAAAACCTACAGGCTTTAATATTGAAGCACATATGTCAACTTATGCATCATATGTGTCTAACTGTAGTTGAAAAAATTCTTTTATAGGTCGACCTATAATCGTATGTGTCGATCTATAGAGTGTTTTTTTACACAAAAACAAACTTTTAATGTATAAAAATATTTTCTTGATGCATGACTTTTTTCTAAATCATTTCCAACCTTATTGACTTGTTTCTTAATGCTAAGATGCACAATTCACACATAAAATCAAATGATTATGTTCAATGTACATAAACACAAAAGTTTCATAGTTTTGACATCATACAAAACACATCTAAACGGAAGTTGCACTCACACCCTTTGTGCCCTCCCTTAAATTAAATGTCATTTCTAATCAACTAGAAAGACCGAACCATAGCTAACAAAAAAAAGGTGAAGATTCTTCCTAGTCTTACCTTTTAACAACACGCGAAATCCCTTCAAATAGTCAAGAATAAATTTAATATGGTTTAAAGGACCAAGACCAATCCAAACCAAAAGAGAATCTGACACATGACTTGCCACAAAGCACAAAAGAAAAAGGTGCAAATGATTTTCTTCAAGATCAAGACACGTCGAGTAAACGAGATTGTGTTGACAACTGAGAATTCCTCGCCTTGCTAGTTGGTCACGAGTTTGTAGCCTGCTGATCAAGAGCCTCCACATCAACACTTTGATGTTGGTTGGAACTTGTGAATTCCATAACAACTTCAAAGCAAAACCAAAGCTAACATCAATATTAGAAACTTGCTAGTGAAAGTAATTTCAGCGTAGAAGAAACTACTTTGACCGAAAAACCTCTAACATAATTCCACCAAAAGAAAAAGTCATTCAGTGTTGAAAAATGAGAGATATTTTAAAAGATAAGCTGCAACTCTTCGAGTTCACACAATGCCATATTAGAGAGCTGCTCCAAGTTTAAATCCAAGGTCCAAATCCAGCTTCCATTATGCCAACACTTCATGTCTGCAATAGAAATTGTACTTTAATTCATAGATACTCCATAAGAATTCACTTAAATAGTACTCTCTTTGTCTCACAATAGGTGTTCTCTTTCTTATTTTTATTTGCCTCGAATTATTTGTCCCTTTAAAATACCAATATGATATTTATTATTTCTTTTCACTAAAATACTCTTATTTATTATATTTTAATTCATACAACTACACTATCTATTATTAATAAAATTATTTTAATAAATAAAACTTATTTTATTATTGAAATCAACGCAATTAATTAATTAATTAGTATCTTAAAAAGTATAAAAATCTCAAAAATAACACCATTGTGAAATAGATGGAGTACTAATAAAAGTTTAAATATATTTCCTTAAAGATGCCACTACTCAATTAAAATTCATGGGTACTCCATAAAAGTTCACCTAAATAATACTAATAAAGATATATATTTCATAAAATGATTAATTAATTTTAATAGATTTATTGTGTAAAATATTATATACTTATCAATAATAGATTTATGTGATTTGAAGTAAGTTTAAGAAAATTTATTCAGAGTAAGTATATATATATATATATATATATATATATATATATATATATATATATATATATATATATATATATATATATATATATATATATATATATATATATATATATATATATATATATATATATATATATATATATATATATATATATATATATATATATATATATATATATATATATATATATATATATATATATATATATATATATATATATATATATATATATATATATATATATATATATATATATATATAAACGAAGATGGGTCTTATGACTAATTATAATCAATGACAGTAGTAAAGTTTTGTTATTAGTTTGGATTGTTGGAGCAACCTTAGATGTTGTTCAACTGATTCAGCAATTTAGCATAGATGAATCATTAGCGCAAGTTAATTATTTATTTTTTTACTCACAAAAAAGTTAAATAATTGAAAAACATCCAATAACTTTTGATAATTTTTTCCTAGTATATACTGCTTCTGACTCAGTCAAATATATATAATTACCGTAAAAACTAATCCTCTTTTTCTGTAATTATTTTCTAATAATCTTTTCATGTCTAAATCTAGATATGATATGTATATTTTGTTGGTAGCATCTAGATAAAATATATGCTAGTATTCGAATTGGTTTATAATTATTGAAGCGTATAAAAAAGGTAGATAGGGTGGTTCTCTTTACGCAACTCAACAACCATCACTCCAATCTGACTGCATGCCCACCTCATTATTCATAGTAAAATAAATCAATAAAAAAATTAAAAATAAATTAAACATCTCATTAAATTAATTATTCCTTAATTAACATAATTAACCTCCATGATATATAGTACTCCCTAGTTCTATATCTTTTCTCCATTTCATACTGCAAATGAAAACCACATCTCTCACACATACTTTGACCATACATAACATAAACCTATCATCACCACCACCTCATATCTATCTCTACCCCACTCTGATATTTTTCAGATGAACCAACCACAAACATAAACACATAAAACATAAAGATTAACAGCTTCTCACTTTTTCTTCTTCCACACTCTCTTTCTATAACAAACCCTAGTATCTTTCTCTCTCTAAGAATCCAAACAAACAGAGTAAGTTTGTGTTTACACATCTTCCCTATAACTGCAAGAATTACGTAAACATATCTTTTCTGGAGTAATAAAAGTGAGGGAAGCATTTTTTGTTCAGATCCGAGAGAGGGTTATGTTTGAATGAAAAAACGTGGGTGTGTGGGAGAGAGAATTATGATGATGAGTAGAATATTGTGAAGAAAGAAAACTATCTTTTTCTTTCATAATAATTACCTTACTCCAGAAACAACCCTTTCTCATGTTTTTTTCTTTTGTCCCATACCTCATTCTCTGACCCTGTACGAACACACCACTTAAATACATGGAGTGGAGGGGTACTAGTAGTTTGTGTAAGCACCAACACTAACCAAACCAAACCAAAAAAGCAAAAGATAAAGCAACTCTCTCTCTCTTTCTCTCTCTTCACTCTCTTTCTCTCTCTTGTTCACTATCTTCCTCCTCATCATGGATTCAGGAAATAGTGGTAGTATGCAATCTTCAAGCTGCGGTGATGAAATTGAAGAGTATGATTCACGCGCTGAATCATCAAATTTTTCTGCGTTTTTGAACAATCCACCACCAACAACTGCAGCACCAGGAGAAAGAAACAATCATGTTATAAGCCAGTTTGGTAATAACAACAACAATCTAATTAACCCACAAACACAAAACCATCATCATCATAACCAAATGTTCGATCCATTACCCAATTATTATATGGAGTCATTACAGAAACAATCATCAAACCCAAACTCGTTTCTAAACCTTGATATGATTTGGTCTAAAGCTACAGCTAGATCTGAACCAAACAACACCGATCTTAGCACCTTGTTAGTACCTTCATCTTCTTCATCATCGTCTTCTCTTCAGAATCATCAAGCTTTCTTATTGAGTCAATTCCTTGGTCAAACCAGAGAAAACGTTGCTTCTGTTCCCACCACACACCAACAACACCAATACCATCAACAACAACAACACCATTCTCTACCACTGGAAAGTACTTCACGTGGAGGATCACTCGCCAATGATCATCAAGATCTTATTAACAGCAGCAACAACAACAACGTCGGTAGAAATCCGAAGAAAAGATCAAGAGCTTCAAGGCGTGCACCAACCACAGTTCTCACTACTGATACTACAAATTTCAGAGCCATGGTTCAGGAATTCACCGGTATACCAGCGCCACCGTTTCCTTCACCTTTTCCAAGAACAAGGCTGGATCTTTTCGGTTCTTCTGTTGCTTCAAGATCTATGTCAAATCACATGGACCCTCCTCCACCGCCACCACCTCCTTATCTTCTTCGTCCTTTCGCTCAAAAAATCCAACCCTTTTCTCCATTGATCCAATCTTCTTCTTCCATAATGGAAAATTTAGCATCTAATAACCCAACTAATTCAGCTTCCATTAACTACCATTTATCACAGCAGAATAATCATCCTCTCATGCAACACAACCAGATTCTCGGTTTTCAATCAATTTCTCAAACACCAACAAAATATCCACATGGGACCCAACAACCCTCCTTGGAAACCACGCCAAATGTTGACTCAAGAATGAAAATAGGTACTGTTTTTGACGAACTAGGTTTGAGTCATGCTCAAGCCCATGTTAACAACAGCAACAACAACAACGTTAACATTGGTATTCTTCACAACAACATGGTTACTACAACAACAACAACATCATCAGACGCAGTCAACAACAGCAACGAGAATCAGTGGAGTCAGAGAACCATTGCCGGTGTTGAAAAAGGACAAGAATGCGTTGTCGTGAGTACAAGAGGTGAAGCAACAGTGGAATCATGGATTAATTGTTCTTCTTCAGATTGATTAACGATTAATGGAAAAAAGAACAAGGTAGGTTCGTAATTCGTATCGTACATATAATTTTAATACACTTTATTTAAAGCAAATGATTCTGGCCGTAGAACTATACAACGCTAATGCATGAAATGGAGAATCTTGGTATCTTCATCATAAACCACCACCATCAAATCAAATTAATTCAACCATGTTTTTTTTAATGCTTTTTTCTTTTGTTCTTTTGAGTCATTTAGAATTATGCGTAAATATAATTAGTACTAGCAGTTATAGCTTGTTTTTTTCTACTATGAATTTTTTTTAAGAAATATATACAAAAGAAGCATTGAGGTTATGTTTATTACATTATTTTTATTTGTATTTTGATATTTAAACTTTGGTTTTGACAAGTGTGAGAGATTATTATTATTATTATTGTTATTAGTATTTAGATTGTTGCAATGTTGAGAAGATTAATTGAACAATATAGATAGGTTTGTTTGATGCTGGCTTTATCTGTTGTTTTGGAGTCTCTAGTACTCTATAGTTTATACTATATTGTTATTCTTTTTATTTATTTAATGTTTTTTTAATTTATAATTTATTGACAATTATAAAATTGAAGATTCTACGAGTAATTGGTGGCAAGATTGGGGGGATTGTTGTTAGCCGCCGAAATCTTCTTTTTTTAAATCAAAGATGTGTTTTTTTATTAGACAATTCTTTTTCTTTCTATTTTTTTGAGTTGACAAGATGTGTTTTTATTTTTTTTGGATTTTTTTATATCATAATTATGCTCGTGAACCTTTGGAAAGAAAAACAAAATATGCTTGTGATTAAACACATGGGAACAGTTTATGCAACGAAGAAAACACATAGAAACAATTATTAATTTTCGTTGATACACCCTTTTTACTAACACAAATATAGTAATTACTTTAGAGAAAAGTTTAAAAATTTTACAAGTGCGGGGCATAATAACTTTATAAAAAATATTTTAAAAATATGAACCAAAAAAATTCAGAAACGATATTTCCAAAATAAATTTTTAAAATGCATGATGTTAGCTATAATATTTTTATAATGTTATTTACCTTTACAAAAAATTTACCTTGATTTTTCATTAAATAACTTACAAATGTTTTATTTTAGACTCATAAATGTTGCTCCGTGATTTTATTTTATTTAAATAAAAAGTGCTTCATGAAATATACATTATACAAAAAATAGTCCATTGAATATAAACTTTTAATTGATGTCCAAAAGTAAATCCTTATTATTTTAAATAATTATAAAAGTGAAAATAAATACAATATTTTATTAAAACATATTTAATAATAATAATAATAAATGAAAAATAAATATAATACTCTATTGAAATTATTAAATACAATAAAGCTTACCATCAAATCTACCTGGTGGGAGAATGATTATGAGCATGCAAGACAAAAACTGATTCATGCAGTGAAAGAAAAAAATTGCTTATAATTTAAAGATGTAACTTTTAAAGCTTTATATATCTTATAAGTTAGACTAGTCTCTCATCCAGAAAATAAGATTTTGTTTTTCAAATTTGTGTATATTTTATGATAATCAATCTTAAATACTAGATATATTTTAAGTTGAATCATGGAATTTCATTAACTTTAATAATTATTGGAATTTTTTAATGACAAAAGAATATATTAATAGAATAGGTAAAAACCACTCATATACAAATAATTTCAAAGTACAAAAACAGCATAGAGGACTACTAAAAATATGAATAAAAATCTTTTAAAAAAACACAACAATAGACTAACAAAAAAAAAAGCAAAAACACTCAAACAACCAATTACCCACCTTAGGATTCAGGTTTAAAATATTTTACCAGAATCCATCCATAAAACAGCAAACACAATCTATCTTATAAGACAAATATTCGATTTGCTACTGATTAATAAACAAAGAAAAATATTTTAGAATTTTTTTTATTGCATTGTTAGTATTAAAATTTTAAGTGAATAAATTATCTCAATTACTAATATATTGTGGTCTATTTTTGTTTTTAACGACCAGAAGATTACGCAAATTACTGATTAAAATATCAAGTTATAATTATTTAATGGTCAAATTGTGAATAAAAAAAGGGCATTGCTTTGTTTTGAAAGAAGAAACACAATATGTCAAAATTATTCTAGTTCACGACAAAAATGTATTTTAAGTAATATTTAGCCTGTTTTAAAAATTCTATTCAATTTCAGGAAAGATTTTAAACATGTACGAGGGTAATAATGTAATATAATTTAACTATTTTTAATAAATATAATAATTTTCATTTCCCAAATAAATGTACATCATTTTTTACGGGTAGATAGTATGTAGCCACGTGAATGACAAATGAAAATGTAGCCATGATGTTCAAAAATAGAATGCTATTAAATTATAAAATTTCAAAATAAAATAATTTGAATAAAAAATATGACTGTTTTATATTTTATTTTAATTGAAAAAAACACATTTTATTCTGAATGAAAGGGAAAAAGAAAGTCGTACGCGTGCATGTTATATTACAGTCTTTTATGAGACTTTTATATGATGGATTTTAATGTTTGTGGAAAATGAAGAGTCTCTCTAATATGGTTTTTAAATTCAAAAGTGATAAATTTTAAATTAAATCGTTAATAATATTTGCTAGTTGAATAATTGGAAAAGTCCAAGTTTGAGACAATTTCGGCTTTCGCCGTAATCTATGTAACATGGTCCAGTCTTTACTTATACATGATTAAAAAAAATCTAATTTATATAATCAAAGAAAAATAATTGATAATTGTAATTAGAAGTTAAAATTTAGTGTTTACATTTAAATTGAAACAACAAATAAAGAGAAGAATGGTAAAAAAAAATTGAGTTTGGGTTTTGTTTGTTGTGTTGCGTCTGGCTATTGGCAGCTGCCTAGTGTTAAGATTAACGCTGGCACGTCAATTCTATATGATTTGATTCTCCTATTCATAAGTGATAGTGAGATTTTAATTCCAATCAAAGAGATTTTAATGATGCTTCCAACTATTCATGCCCAGCATGATTATTCTATACCAACATAGTATCCTCTACCCCCACTTTATTTTCCATACAATGGATATTGATAACGAGTGCTCCAGTAACACTTTTTAAACATTATAAATAAATAAAATATTTTATAAAAACAATTAATCATTTCAATTTCTAATGCATTATATATATATATATATATATATATATATATATATATATATATATATATATATATATATATATATATATATATATATATATATATATATATATATATATATATATATATATATATATATATATATATATATATATATATATATATATATATATATATATATATTGTTAAGAGAAAGTTGTTATTTTAGTTTTTTTAGATATTAAAGGTTGGTTCAGTGTACGGAAAACAATTGACTCATAATAAAGGGTGGCCAATGAGATACTATCGGGTCCATATAGAAAGATGCTGGTGTGATTTTGGAAAATTTCAAACTTTTTGTATGTCTTGCACCTATGTCATATCTAAGAGATTACAATCATTAAAACAATATCGGTTGGTCCAAACATCATAACACAATCATCACTATCAGTTTTAACTGACTTCTATACATGATGTTCTTCGTTATTATTGAACGCCGAAACAAGCCCTATCAATTTTTCTAATTTTTTCTCTTCTTCAATATCTCCGTCTAACAAACAGCTCAAGCTCCTCTCAAGATGCTTGAAAGTCAGATGTTTCAAAGTCGAATATTCATTGGAGGTTTGAGAATCAAAAAATCAACAATCACATATTTTTTAATAATCATGTTAGACATTTAGAAGATGAAATGATAAGATGTGTGAAAAATGGTAGATAATGAAGATTCGTTTATATAAAATAAATGAAAAATGCACTAAAGCACCATGGGGAGTGGCGCATGCTCCTAAGCCCCCAAAGCATGCGCCAATGGCATTGACATGTAGATAGTGCATGCGCTAGTCAAAGTGGCTCCAGTGTGTAAATTTGAGAGCATGCGCCAGTAACATTGGCGCATCCTCTTCGATACAATTTTTTGTTTGTTTGAAACATGGGGTATTTTGGTGAATAATTTGAAATGTTGGTTATTTAGGTATTTAAATTGAAAAACATGATTATTTGAAAAAAAATCCATTTAAATATTATATAAGTGAATATTTTTGAATTTTCCAAGCATATCATATAAAGACAATATACACTAATCGATAGTAGTGACTTCTAAATTCGACAAATTGAGTGTAAGCGTGATAGCCCCTGTAATCTCTGCTTGCGAAATATGCGGAGTAAGTGGTCATATTGTATTATACTGTCAGATGTAGCTCACTAAAGAATCTGGTCAGGATAGTGTTAACTATGTTAACATTAACCAACGAGACAATTCTTGTTAAAATACCCACAATCCTGGGTGGAGAGATCATCCTAATTTTTCATATAGAAATACCTCTCGTTCAGTTTGTAGTCAATCTTATACTAGCTAGTCCTCATAATTCTCAAGGTCACATGAATGGAAACACTCATGTAAAGATCAATCTAGAAATAATGATGGAAAATTTTATCACATGTCAGACTAAGCAAAATAACGAATTCAAAAACTAGAATCTACTTATGACTAAATTTGTGAATAAGTTAGGGTCCACAGTGGATTTAATAGCCACATATAACAAAATGTTAGAGACTTGGATCTCTCAAGTGGCACAATAATAAGCCTCATCTTCTGCTCCTGTCAAAAAAAATTCTAGACAGCCTGTGCAAAATTCGAAGGACATGAGAATGTTTTTAACTTAAGGAGCAGAAAAGAATTAAAAGGCGTTAGTGAGAAGAATTCGAGTAAGAAAACCCAACATGCAGGTGAGGTTGTAGAAGAAGAGAAAGATAAAACTTATGTATTTTCTCCATTGGAGCTTTTATCTAATTCAAGTACTTTTATCTTCAATCCAGGTTTTATTTTCTTCTTATTATTATCGTTATCATCACATTGTTA